GGATGTGGAAGGCTTGAAATTGGCAATGGAAGCAGGAGTCAAGGCAGCTCTATCAAGATGGTTTTCTGCTGTTTATATAACTGGTATTGGAATTGGAATTGAAATTGAAATTGAAATTGGAATTGGAATTGGAATTGGGCTTATAATCTAAATGTTCTTCCTCTTGTCAGAAAGTTTTCCTGTGTCTGTCTTAGTATACTAGTTTCAACTTGCATTTGCAGCAGTTTGTCCTTTTCTTGCTCGTATTTATTCTAGAACGATTTTAACGACTTCTAAGAAGATTCAGTTGCTAATGCTTGCGTTTACAGATGGTAAAACACAAACTTGAGACAAAATCTTCAAGTAGTAATAATGTTGTTTGTTAGCAGCTTAATGGGACTCAAAAGCTTATTCGGTCAACTATACATGACTATTTGGTATTGGTTTAATCATATAGAAAGTTGCTTATTTAGTATGCTTTTTAGGGGAAATTTTATGCAGAGAGTCGAGTTTTTCCAAACCTGCCTCTCTTAATGAAAAAACATGCTCCTTCCATCTATGCAAAAACAACTACAAACAGATTAATTCACACCGATAAGTTTATTTATACAAGATTTAATGAAAAATTATCCGTAAAATATCACTTGAAATGATGGAGGTATCTGATAAGAGTTTAGGATCACTCTGATGAACTAAAAGTTGTCAATGGTCACCACCCTGAGACCCATTTGTGCCTGAAGCTGTGGTTGCTGTTGCCGAAACTGCAACCCGGCTGTTTCTTGCCATCACTACCGTTGCCGCTAGGTTGGCGAAAAAAGATTTGTATTTGATAACTCGATTCTAACGTTAATATCCGAGACGATCAAATAAACAGAAATTAAGAGCGAGTAAATAACACTTGCTGAAGTAAACATATTATGAAACAATTATATGTTCATAAGTAGATAAAATATCCGCTTTACATTATGTGAAACAATACCTTAAAATAAAAGCTGTAACGGTATTCACAATGCATGAAGTTCTTAAATTATTAAGCACCTATTATCTCTTTTCTTAAATATGGTTGAGTTCCGTTGAGAATAAAAGTTATAATGAGAAGAGTAAGAATATAAAAAGTTCTACCAGATCAATTCCTTTATAAAACACACTTCATTGGTTGGTTTGAGATTCAAAGTGATCAGTAGTCCAGATCATTTCTTATACTTCTCATCTTATACGATATCGTCTCTCAAATAGATAATATGAGGTTTTTAAGGTATGTTATAATTTGTCCAAAAATTAATTAAAACGGGTCATATCCGACGCAGACCGAGCCCAAATTATAAAAGACCGGACCCGGCCGAAAAATGCAAAGTGGGCCTTGGGCTGGAAACTGGTAAAAACGGAGCGAGTGGAAACACGCAAAGCAAAAGGCGCGTGGGATAGAGGTCATCCGAATGCTCCATAGATATAAATGGCGGGAGCTCATCCTCCGTTAAAAATTCGCCCAATCATCTCTCTCTATATCCATCTGTTTTTCGATTTTTCTTTTATTTTTACTGCAAAATAATACTAGTATTATAATGCAAACAATCTCCCAATCTCTCTAAACTAAAACCCTTGGATTCAATCGCGAAATCGAACACCCTTTTGCATAATCCACACTTGTTACTGCATTGAGCGCTTCGATTTATCCAACTCTGACGCGATTCGTACTCTTTTTGACTCGATTAACTAGGGTTTTCGTGTTCTTTGATCTTTTGTTACATTATATTACTCTTCTTTTTTCGGTTTCTTTTTGATTCTCTGTTAGGGTTTTCAACACCAAAAGAGTTAATTGGGGTTGACGGTGGGTGTAAGTTTGATTTTTCGATGGAGGCGGCCGCTAGTGTCGCCGTCGCAGCACGTGGGGTTTCTTTGACGATGCCATCTTCTCAATCTCAGTCTTCCCGGAAAGAATGGCGTGTTGTTTCTGATCATCCTGTTCAAAGCTCCGGCAACGAGGTAAATTCTGTTGCCTAATACTTCGTTCTTTTTCCTTTCGCAATGTTAGGGTTTTGGATTTTGGTTTCTTGTTTCGTGTATATTTTATTTGTTTTTCTGTAATTAGGAGATGGACCGTTCAAAGTTAGTGCAGGGTGATGAGAGACTGATATATGAGGTATATTGCTTGTTTTTTTGAGTTTGTGATTTTGTCTTTTTTCAATCAAGTAGAATGGAAAGGAGTGTGATTTGTTGAATGTTATGTGGCATTAGGGTAGAGAACCTGTGAATGTGGACTTCTTTTCGATAACTGTTGATGGATGTTCTGATCATGAATTGCATCTTGATGATGTTGTGAAACAAAGAGAACAACTTCAGCATCTAGAGGTTAATCTAAAAGCTCGGCTCATAGCTAGATCAGAAGTAATGGGGATGCAGGAACGATTTGATTCACAGATCAAAGAGCACATTACTGCAACTGTCAAACTTCAGGTATTTATAATTGGTCCATAATTAATGTTTCTATTTAATTGAAGTTCTGTGGCTTACTAGAATATGGGGTGCCTGAAGGAGCAACTACATGAAAGGGAAAAAGCTATAATGGACTTACAAAGGACTTTGGATGATAAAGATGAGGAGCTCCATGCAATTAGATTAGACCATGAAGCTGTACGTACCTAAACATTGTCACACAATTCTGATATATCATTGTTTAATATAACGGTTGTTTTCTGTTGGTATAGGCTTGGGCCAAAGAGGACCTCTTACGGGAGCAAAACAAAGAACTTGCAACCTTTCGGTATATCTTTGAACTTATCTTGTCTTTCTGATTCTCGTGATTCTTACAAGTGTCTTTGGCTGGTGAAATTATCATCTGCATCTTTTTGGGCCCGATTACTTTCCAATTGCATATGTTGTTTGATGCATTTTTATGTGCAAGTCGGATGATCAGCTGAAACCGATTCTTCAGGCTGGTGACATATAACCTGAATTTTTTTCCCTTTGTTCAATTCATTGTATTTACACATTTATCAAATAACGCAGCATATGGAATTCACATTTCACACTAGATTTTTTACACTTATTTAGTGTTGTTTGTGGAATGAGCTAAATGAGTAAGATAAGGCTGACCATGGTGAAGTTTGACTGGTTCTGCTTGTATTGCCTACCTTGGCTCTTTCTTGAGAAGATATATATATATATATATATATATATGTATATATCTATTTATCTATCAAACTAAGTCAGTTTGTGCTTTGGTCAACTTATATGTATCGGTCACAGTTTGGGCTATATGTTATATTTGATGATTGTAATCTAAGTTGGATTGTATGCATTTGCAGGAGAGAGTGATAATTTGCACTTTACACTAGATTTTTTACACTTATTTAGTGTTGTTTGTGGAATGAGCTAAACGAGTAAGATAGGCCTGACCATGGTGAAGTTTATGTTGGCCCTTTCTTGAGACGATACACACACATATATATTTATATTTCTATCTATCAAACTGTCTGTTTGTGCTTTGGTCAACTTATATGTATTGGTCATAATTTGGGCTATATGTTATATTCGATGATTGTAATCTAAGTTGGATTGTATGCATTTGCAGGAGAGAGCGTGATAATTCTGAAGCTGAAAGGGCCCAACATCTTAAAAAAATTCATGACCTACAAGAACATGTTCAAGAAAAGGAGCGACAGTTCATCGAATTGCAGGAACAGGTACTCTCCGTTGTATGCTTATCTAATATGTTATTTGCTGCTAAAATTGAATACGGAGGAAATGCTTCAAAGCTCCTTGGTTTTATGGGTTCCCTGTTCTTTATTCTTTGTGAAATAATATTCTTACCTGTGTCATCTCTTTCAGCATAGAGTTGCTCAAGAAACTCTCATATATAAAGATGAAAAAATAAGAGAGGCACAAGCATGGATTGCACGAGTTCAGGAGATGGACGCCTTGCAGTCAACTACCAATCACTCGTTACAAGCTGAGTTGAGAGAGCGCACTGAACAATACAACCAGCTTTGGATTGGTTGCCAGAGACAGGTTGTTTTTAGTTGCAGAAGTGATATTGCAGTTTACAGAGATTTATTAATTGTAGTTGATTGTTTATTTCATATATTCATCAATGCTTATTTGCCAAACAAAGGATGTGCGTGCCATGTTCATTTCAGTTGATTTTAATTTTTAAGTAAACATTTAGTCGTCCATAGTTGGTAACTTTATTGTATGATCATCGCCAGTTTTCTGAGATGGAAAGACTTCATCTGCACACGCTACAACAGCTGGAGATTGAGTTGTCTGAGGCAAGAGAAAGGAGCGGCACTTACTCGGATGGGTCACGTACGACTCAAACGAATGTAAAGGACACATCTCATTTTCTACATAGCAATGGAAGCCAATTGGAGGCTAGTGGAGGAAGCAGCCCTGCTGGTGATTCAAGGGGTCTCCAGAATGGGGATGCAGAAATTGTATCTGCACAGGTAGATGCTGGTATCTTCTGTTTAATATTTATGATAAAATTGATCCACAATTTTGGGTTTCAAGTTAGGGTAAATATCTAAAATTTAACATGCAAAGTTCCGTTTTTAGCTTTATCCAAATATATATGAAGATAAAATCAATATCTGCAAATAGTTTGTTGCCCCCATTGGCGGTGACCCCTGATGATACATCCTCTTATAAAACAAATAATGCTATTGTTCTCTAATATCCATTGTCTTGGATCACGTGTGAGGGTTAATGGATGTTAAAGAACAATAGCATTATTTGTTTTATAAGAGGATGTAACATTAGGGGTCACCTGTTAAGATAGGCCATTGGGGGCAACAAACTATTTGCAGGTATTGATTTTATCTTTATATATATTTGGATAAAGGTAAAATGGCTTTTGCACTTCTTTTGAGTATGTTGCTAATAATCTGGACATTGTTCATATTGTCCATTAAAAATTAACTTAGACTATAAGGTAGATTTTTTCGGTCTCTGTTCCTGCAGTTGGAGATGAATGATGGAAGGTAGGAAACAAGTATGTTTATGATCTCAGATTCTTTTCTTAGGCAACTCATCCTCTTAGAGAATTTACCCAAGATACCGATATTATCATTTTGCCATTTCTGCATAGTAAATTTTGGGGTTACATAAACTTGTCCTATCAAAAGGGAGAAACATCATACAGTGGGGACACATCACTAAATACTAAGAAAACAACATCTGACAACAAGCCATTACACATCCCAACTAAACTTTCACAACATTTTTCTCACACAATTTCCCCTCCAGACTTGGAATGCATTCATGAATGTTCCTGGAAAAGGCAGCAGTCTTTTTGTAAACCTTTTCTAGAAAGCCTTTTATTCCTTTCTAGCCTTTGCTTCCTGTTTCATCCCAAGTAGAATATATTTGTTTCTGCTTACTACAGCTGTAAGCCTGTAATTGCTAAACATATGTTCCCTAGAGCTCACTGTTGCACAGAACACATGTTTGCATCCACCACCAACTGATGGTTCAACTTGTCTTTAGTACTCAACTTATTGTGTAGAGCTAATGTGGTAGCCACTGACTCACCATTTAGAATTTTTGGAACAAGCTTATAAATCTTTCCACCAAGTAGCTACTGAACTCTATTCCCCGATTGAACTGCCATAGATTTAGTAAGGAAGTCCACAAGGCACCAAGAGGCTAAATTTCTACTCCACTATCAGCCACCATAGTTGTGGGAATGACAGTTAGGCAATCAACACTTTTGTAAAACTAAGTGGAAATATCTTCGGTTACAGCCTTTCTGGGACCACTTCAATTTTGCATGCAAAGACAGATTACTACCATCTGCGATTAGTTTTCATGATACTCCAGTGACACCTCATTTGGGATGCCATCGTGTCACCAAAAGGAAGTATTGTCACCATCACTAATCCCTGCAACATTTCTCTAAGTTTGATGGATTTTTGTTGGATCAAGAGCATTGAGAGTTCAAGTTAGTCAACACAAAGAATATCTTTATTACGGTAAATATATTAGCCAAAAAGCCTTGTTGAAACTAAGCTGGGTCTCTCTCTTAGAAAACACGCTTCTTTTCAATGCACTTTATACCAGTTCTCTTTAAGTGGACCAAGTAATTCTTCTTAGAACTTGATTCACCTGTTTACTGTTTAGTGTTTAGTCCATCGAAAGAATAAACTGAGATCCTAATAGATAAAAGTACTACCTCACATAGAAATTGCCTAGATGTTTATTACACCCGCTTTTCACCCTGTCAACCAATTTATCAAACCAAACTTCACAATCAACTACTTTATTTGAACTTCTTGATTAAATGTGGAAATTTAGGTTTTCCACTAGGAGAGGAATACCCATTTCAACAGAATCTGAGCAGCAACTGTTGATTGTTATTTTTCATCTTTCCTTGACAAAGGCAAAATCCCTAGGAGGATTTTTCTGTAAATAAGCTGAAATCATGGCCTAAAAGGAGTTTAGGAGGCGGTCCAAAAGTGTGCATGAGGAGACCCCCATTAGACAGACACCTTGGATGGTTGAGACAGCAATGGGAGGCGTTGAAGTGCCCTAGGCGGGCCGAGGCCTATATACTGAAAAGCCTTGATTATTGAAAAATTAAAGGAACCCTAAATATTTCTCAAAACACTTTCTCCTCTCACATATTTCTCGAAGGCATTAACACACAACTCACTAACTCAAAGGTATTCTCCTGTCCATCTCCAACTCGAAAACTCAATGCTTTTGTCCGTTTATCTTCTTAGTGACACATTCTATTCTCTCCTTGAACTCACACTCAACAGTCTGCAGCCTTTCACTCACAGCTCCTTAGGGACATATGTGCATTTTATCTATTGAACAATTTTTGTATTTTAAAACGCCTTGCCTTCATTTCCACCTGAAGGCGTATCTCTTGATGTTCTGAGGGAAAACGTCTCTCCTTCATTTCCGTCTTTTAGAACCTTGGCGGACATTAATGTGCAAAGCAGTTATTTAGCTACTGCATATCACTTTGATTGACCGCTTGGCCTGTGATTATGTTGGTGTGGCCGTGTTCATTGAAAACTCTCCGACTTAGTATCTGTCGTGCCGTATTTAATTATGGTGTTGGACTTTGTCCTTTTCTGAGTGCTACTATTTTATGACTTCGTGCTTATGGTTGCTAGTCCCTTGGAGTGGTACCATCTCTGGAACCTTCTTTCTTATTTGCTGCCGCACCATTAAAAATAAACCCAAATAGCACACTATGTACAAAGAGAGAGAAACTGTAAGCTCCTCGATGTTGAAGGAATGCTTTCATATTATGAATAACTAAAAGCAGACTGCAAATATTTTGGAAACGGTGTCCGAAATCTCAAAAATCTTTTACAAAGCATTGGATATAGTTTGTCTTGTTTTTGATGCTACGATTCTTTTATATCATTTTACTGTTGGAGATTTTTGGACTTCTGATATTTCTTGTTTTGTATTCATTGGGAATTTTGTTGGGTGAGTCATGTTTCTCACATAGTCTTATGGTCTAGCTTATGGAGGTATGTATCAGAAATTGTTATATCTTATTTTGTCTATGGAAGGTACTGATCTATCCCTTGAAAAGTTGTTTGGTTTTCTTGAACCTAGAGGCCAACATTGAATAATTATTTATGTCAATATGTATTTCAGACCGAC